CAACCCCCAAAGATAATATTTAAGTTTGTTTTTAAAAAATATTTTCAATTTCAAAAATTATTTTCTACTCTAGTAAAAATAAAAGATATTTCTCAAAAATATTTTTCATTCATAAATCAAATGCTAAAAATCTTTTCCGAAAAATATTTTCTAATCACCAACCAAACATGAGAAAATAAGTAAAAAATCAACTTGTTTTCCAGGAAAACATTTTCCTTCGTACCAAACACACCCTATATATTAAATTGTAAAAGATAATAAACTACAAAAGGCATGTTCTAGGAAAACTTGTTTGGCTCACTTGGCTCAATCCATTGTTTGAATTGATAAATTTTCTATTAACAAAAAAATAAATAAAGAGAGTTCATATCACCTAGAAGTGTCGTAGGAGTGAAACTTCGATCACTTTTAAATTAAAAAATATATAGATATAGTCTAATTGTCTCGCTCCACATTGATGGCGTTAGATTAAGTACGTGTACATTAACAACACAAACTAATTCAGGCAGCGGCGGAGCTAGTGGAATCTCATTCGTCGAAAACTTATACTTAACAAACACGGTAAAAAATCCAATCTTCTATTTTGACACAATATCTACCAGTATAACCTACACTCTGACCTTTCTTTTTCAATTGTATACTCGAGAGAATTCAGAGTTTTATGAAAGTCAAAAAGAACAAAACAATACAAGTTCAAGTGAAGTGTGTACTTCACAACTAAAGCTAAGGGATGTTTATATAGATTGGTTGTTTGCTCTTGTAAGGTGGTTCTCTCAATCAAGGATATTGAGGGATTTCTTGATTGAGACGATTTGCTGATTCATGTCCATATTAACTATGTGCATGAGTAAATCGATATCTTCAGTCAGATACTAGGATTGTGGCTATCTTCACTTGATTCTGCTGAATTATCTGTGCTCCTTGAATGGCGCATTTTCTTCTTTGTGTTGCTCAGGTGTTGTAATTCATTTCTTTCCCTTTTCTTTGTGATGCTCAAGTGCTGCAGGATTGCATTTTTTCCTTTTTGATTCCTTTGGTCTCTTTGCCTGCAACTGATCATATAATTGTTAAGTGTCGTTTATCAAAATCAAAGCATCCTATGGGGCTAACAGAGGGGTTCAGAAGTTGAAGATGATTATTCTATATGCATATACTGGCCACATCTAAGAAACGCCTCATGATTACAATACTAATGCTTCGTCTAGCCTAAAACTGCATTGAGAAAACAAATAAAAAGTAGATCAACTTACATAGCAGCTACGCGCGCATCCTTGACAGTGAAGGGTTCTGTCTTTGCTTCTTTTAGTCGCGTACCATCGAAACATTCAATAACTCTTGCACCTAGACAGAACACATTAGTCTTCATATAGTTTGTATAGTGAGAAAAATTGATTTTATCTATTAAACCTATGCCTCTATTCAGTCTAATGTGTACTGTTCCTGAAAAAAGAGGCTTATTCACATCTTCCCTATGGCGCACAATATTGCTATCGAACTCTTCAGAAGTCCAATTATCTCTTCCATCACCACCAAAATCTCCCCTCAGAACAACAATCTCCACTGTCACGGAGGCTTCTGGTGCAGAGTCAACGATTTCTCCGCTATTAACATCAACCAACGCCACATCAAAAGTACTACCTCCTACTCTTTTAATTTCCTTTCCGGTAAATACAGGAACATATACCTTTCTTAAAAACATTAACTTTAAACTTCTTAATTTAGGATTTTGATGAATGGATTGTGGAATATTCGTTCCGTGAATAATCATTTGATCCAACGCTTGTGCAAAATCAGTCGCCACTTTCTTCATATCTCCAATTTGTGAATCTGCAAACTTTCTTAAGTCAGTGACAAGTGTATCAGCCAGATTTAGGTTGTTCTGTTGGATTGCCTCGAAACAAGCTATTGATATTTGTACAAGCATATTACTAGTTTCGTTATTCACTCCTTCAGCATCACCAGTATTCAAACGCAAACCAAGTTCAGAACCAGCAACTGAAGTAAATGCCCTGAAATCATCATTTAATATCCTGGAAGATGCAGATGATACAATCAACTCATTATCATCATCACAACCGCCAGCAGCAGTCGAGATCTGCTGGTGGTGGTGATCTACACTCCAGTAAGATGAAGATGAAGATGAAGCCGTATTGGGACCTGAGATCATACTTGTATCCCCACCTGAAATATCAGCACTTCCGAAGATGAGTGCATCTGTATTAGAAAAATTGGAATCACCATTTTCGGTGCTTGTATCTTCAGAAATCTCTCTAAAACTCATCCTCTCCTTGATAAATTTTGATTGACTTTCCTATTTGCTAAAAAGAGTGTGGTCTTGACATAGTCTATTTTTTTTTGAGCCATTATATTCCAAGAAACTTCCTTTTCATCAAAATATTCATATCATGATTTATTTATTTATTTTTTCTTTTTTACTAAGAAACCTAACCACTATTAAAGTTTGTTTCAGTGTAATAGCTCACAAATTACACTACAAGTAGCGAGCCTTGTGCGACGACCTCGATTGAAAAGGAAGTTTCAGATCTCTGACTCTCCATGTAATAGATCTTCTGCTCAATCAACTAGATCATCCTTGCACAAGTTATAAAATTATATTATATGAATACATATTAGTATATGTTTATTGTTTGGATTATAAATACACGAAACAAATAAAATGGTAACACTTGTGGATTAACTTTATCTACGAGCGTACAAATAACTCGCTGGAAACTCAACCCGACCATTCATCCCGTGGAAGACAGTTGTTTAATATGAATACTATAAGAGAAGCACTTTCAGCGTATTGATAGATAAAGTCATAAAGTTGATTGTCAAGTGCTAAATCTTTATGCGTCTGAAATGTTGGGTTCAAAGAAATGACAGCGAAATTCACAGGAATGATCAAAAAGAAAAAGAAAGTTGACTATGTAGAGACCTTATGCTTATTTAATTAGCAAGCTGAAGGAAGTTAACTCCAGAGAAAAGAAGATGATGAGTTCTCGAGAGATGTCGATGGACACAATAATGGAAGACGATGAATCGTTTGTTTCTAATACAAATGCAATCATCTATGGCGCTTCTTACATTTCAGGGCGGACTGAAAGCTTAATCTCAGGTCCCAATATTCCTAATTCGTCTTCAACGAGTGAAGACGATTGTCACCAACAGCAGATCTCTACTGCTGCTGGTGGCGATGGAGGTAGTAATACTAGTGATGATTTAATTGTATCTTCATCTGCATCATCCAACTGGTTTACGAATAACAATGAAGGAGAGACTAGTTCATTCAGAATGCTTAGTTCCGATAATTATAGTAATGTCGAATTATACTCTGCAAGATATCAAAAACAGAGCATGCTGAATAGATCCATAGCATTTTCCAGAAAATTGTATCACCTGCCAGAACAGAACCAGTTTAATCAATTTCAGTTGGATTTTAGTGCATCCATCACATACCCAATCCCAATAAAGCCATGGATATTTACAGGGCCGATTCAGGTGCAGAGGCGTATCCAAGATTTCCGCAAGATGGGTGTACAATTACAAAAAAATGTATCTTAAATATAAATTTGATCAGTTTGACTTTTAGGTTTTTTTAAAAAAAAATTTTGGACCAGTGGTCCGTTTATATCATCTCAAAAAAGACATACACAAGCTGGCTAATAGCCCAAATTTAAAAAGAGTCCGGTGGCCCAAATTAGAAAATACAAGACATTTCATGTCTTTCCCTAATAGAGTTTCCTAATTAGAGCTCTCCAAAATCTCCCTCTCCTAAGTCCCGCCTCCTCCATGATTCTTGTCCCCTCCTCCTTGTTCTTGCTCATTTTCCGTCTTTGGGGTTAACATTCTTCATTCATGGGAAAGAAGGAGTTTTATCAGCTCGCAAAGGTACTCTCCTGTTGACTCCATTCCCAAATACCGCCACTCCCCACTACTGCGATGAGAATCCGGTGATGATGTTTGGATTTCAAGAACTTTTTTGTTAGGACTTAACCATGACGCTCCTTCTGTCCTGCTGTATCGAGTCTGCGCTCCAGTGGATGAATCGAATTGAGGTCCCCCTTTTTCCTTGTCCTTATTTGTAATCTGAAATAGCTCAAGGCTAATAGGCTTTGACATAGCTAGATCGTCTCTTAGAAGACAGAACTTCGATCTGCAAATATTGTAGCTATGTGTTTCTGGTTTGTTCTTGCACTAGCTTAGCATGTTGGGTTAATTCTCCTTGTTTTAATTTGCAATGATGGAATTTGCTGCTTATCCATGTTAATGATTCGTCTTCCTGTGCTTGGTAGATTGTAGAAACTTTGGACTTGTACATGCTCTGCTTGATCTAGGGCCATGTTTGCCAGGTAGTCTGCTAAATGATTAGCCTCTCGAAATATATGTTTTACCTGAACTTGTTTCCTTGCTATGCACTTTTGTATTTCCTCGATTTTTTCAACATATGACCAAGGAATCTTCCACTCTTTTATTAACATGTTTTTGAGTGTTAATGAATTTGTTTCCAGTATAATCTTCTGAAAATTTTGTATCTCGCAGTACCGCATCTCTTTCAACACTCCCATAATCTCGGCTTCCATATTTGTTGCCTCTCATATAGTTTGTGCCTCAGCATAAATTAAATCCCCCATGTTGTTTCTAATGCTAAATCCATATGAACTCTGTCCAGGATTTCCTCTACAAGCACCATCTGTATTGCATTTCACCCACTCTGGGATTGGCTTCTCCCAACACACTAATCTATAGTACAAAGTTGGTTTATATGCGCTTAGTTTTGTAATCATCTCCTGCCAGTTCTGAAAGCCTTCACATAACCTTGGATACATCACTTTCAGTAGCATTTGGACAGTGTGTAGACATTGTCCCAACAACCTCGAATATGACACCTCCTTCCCATGTTTTCGAGCATTTCTCCTTTTCCACAGCTCACACATAATAATTGGTGGTATTGCCTTATATATTTGCTTCACCTTGTGTTGTCCTGGCCAGTCCCACCAGATTGTAATAAGTTGTTGCAAATGAACTCCTTCTAAGCTAATACCTGCACATGAAGCAAAGTGCTTCCATAGCTTTTGGGCTATGGGAGCTGTTAGAAAAAGGTGTTGTACAGTTTCCTCTTCGCCCACATTACAACAATGACATTTTGATACCACATTTACTCTCATTCTTTTGAGAACATCATCTGTGGGGATTCTTTGTCTCCAGACCCTCCAAAAAAAGAATGAGATTTTAAGAGGTTGCCCCTTGAGCCATATATTATTCATCCATTCTTTGTCTTCTCTTTTCTTCCGAGTTAACTAAAAGGCTGATTTAATAGTGAACTCTCCTTGAGCATTTCCCATCCACCAAGCTTTATCTTGATCATCCATATTCATGGTGGGACTGATGTTTTCCAGTATACAATCTACCATATCATGGGACAATAGTTGACGGAGTCTTGCTATATTCCATTGCCCATTCAGGATCATCTCTTTAACCTCCATTTCCTCATCTACTCCTTGTGGTTATATGTAATAAAGAGCACCTTGTTTTGTCCAGTTATCCATCCAAAAGCTGGCAGTACCTTCTTTCTGTTGCCACCATATTTCGTGTTCTACATCCTCCCTAACTCGTACCATATTTCTCCATGCATGTGATGCATCCCTGTTATGAGCCAATATGGGGTGATATTTTTTACAGTATTTGTTCCACATGAATGTGCTCCACAATGATTTCTGAGTTCTAAAAACCCACCACTGTTTAGCAAGGAGAGCATTTGATGTATCAAAAAGGGATCTGAAGCCTAGACCTCCTTCCTTCTTTGGATAGCACATCTCCGACCATGCAACCCAATGTTTTCCTCTTACTCCAGCATAGTTACCCCAAAAGAACTTAGCAAACATCTGATGAATTTGATCTATAATACCTTTTGGTGGGGACAGTGTTGATAGCATATAAATTGGTAAAGACTGCAGTACATGATTTATCAAAATGTATTTTCCACTAAATGACAAGAATTTGTTTTGACATGAGAAAATTCTGGCAGCAACTTTCTTGAGTAACCCTTCAAAAAGCATTTTTTTCTTTCTTCCATAGTAAATAGGACAACCTAGATATGTGAATGGAAAGTTACCAGGCCTGATTCCAGTAAGCTTTCACAACCTAACTGTTACAATTAAAGGAGTCGTTTCATGCAGGTAGAAAAAACTCTTATCTTTGTTGACCATTTGTCCCGACACTCTTTCATAGTCCCTCAATACCTTCATCATTTGGATCACTGAATGTCTGTCCCCTGAACCGAACAAGATTGTGTCATCTGCATAGGCTAAGTGATTGATTTTAGGGCTCCATTTTGGCATTCCAAATCCTTTAAACGACTCCTGCTCATTAAGTTGATTGAATCTTCTTGATAACACCTCAGCAGCTATAATGAACAAGGTTGGTGACAGTGGGTCTCCTTGTTTTAGTCCTCTAGTTGAGTGGAAGAATCCATGGGACTGTCCATTTATCAATACTGAGTACCAATTAGCAGAAATCAACCTCCAAACCATATCTATTATCACTTCTGAGAAACCAAACTTTCGTAGAACTTTGGTTAAGAATACCCAAGCCACTCTATCATATGCTTTAGCCATATCCAACTTTACCACTACATTGACCTCTTTATTTCGTAGGTGTATATCCCGAATTATTTCTTGTGCTAATAATACATTTTCTGTTATGCTTCTTCCTTTCACAAATCCTGATTGATTGGGTGAGATAATATTAGGCAGCACTCTAACTATCCTTTCATGCAGCACTCTGGAAATCACCTTGTTTGTAAAATTGCTCAAACTGATAGGCCTTAAGTCTTTGAATTCCTGCACAAACTCCTTTTTGGGGATCAACACAAGATTAGTATGTGTAATGAATTTGGGCAACTCTTATCCACAAAAGAACACTTTGACTAATCTTGTCAAGTCCTCTCCTATTGTATCCCAACAGTGTTGAAAAAATCTGCCAGTGAAGCCATCCGGTCCACTCACACTGTCTCCATTCAAGGTAAAGACCACTTTTTTAACTTCCTCAATACTTGGAAGCTTAGTCATCTCCTCGTTCTGTTCATCTGTAACTAACTTTGGGATATTTTGTAGCATGTCATACTCCTGATTGTTGCCCTCTTCTGTGAATTGGTCTTGATAAAACTCAACTGCTGCATCACCCATTTTAATCTGATCAGAAACTTCAGTCCCTCTAATGTCGGTAATGTGGTCTAGATGTAGCTTATTTCTTCTCCCTCTTACATAAGAGTGAAAGAACTTTGTATTTCTATCCCCTTCCTTAAACCATTTCATGCCAGCCTTTTGTTTCCAGT